CTGCTATCTATAAGCAAGGAGGAAAGCCATTCAAACCCAGCATTTGCTCCACAGAAGAAAGATAACACTGTTTACTCTTTAAATCTAAAGATTTAAAGCTTTTAGAAACCCAAAGGAGCAATTCTACTCTGTCCTATGGGGTTGTTGTGTGTGAGAAATGAATGAGAGGCTTGATTTTTTTGGTTTTGTGGACTTTTGGAAAGCAGATTCCCCTTGGTGTTAACCCCACCCCCATGGCCCATTGATAAATGATTATTATATTTTTACACTGACCACTGCCTCCTTTCCCCCACAGTTTCTATTGTTCATCCCCCTGGGGTAGTGGGGGCAGTTATGTGTTGGTCATCACGATCAGTACCCTTTGTTCACCTCCTTCCCCCACTTCCCTCCTGTCCTCCTGGTATCACTACTCTCATTCCTGTTCCTGGATTCCATGTGTTGTGAGCTCTTCTGTATTATCTGTACGTGTGCATATGCTTCGGTCTAGCACACAGTGAAAGGCAGTCATAATAGTGGGGCTTGAGGAAGCCTCAAGAACCAGAGGAGTATTGTGTGCTTCCTTGGTGCTATATAGACCCCTGATTGACTCATTCCTTCCCTGTGACCTTCTGTGAGGGGATGTCCCATTGTCTGCAGATGGGCTTTGGGTCTCTTCTCCAACCCCACTCATTCTCAACTATATGGTTTGCTTGTTTTGGGTCTTCTGATTTCTGTTACCTCATGATCTCTCAGGCTGATGTCCTTCTCTGCTAGATGGCTGCTTATTGAACTTCAAGCCTTTAAGACCCCAGATGCTATATCTTTTTATAGGTGGGCACCATCAGCTTTCTTCACCACATTTGCTTATGCACCCATTATGTCTTCAACTATCGTGTCGGGAGGATGAGCATCCCAGAATGCAGTTTGTTAGAACAAAGTGTTCTTACATTGAGGGGAGGACTTGAGCAGAGGCCTGAAGCCCATCCATAATCTCAGTGTATTGCCATATAAATATTTGTGCATGGGCCAATACCTCTATTTTTATGAATTAATGTGTTAACATAAGTACACTCCTATGCTTATACCTCTATCCATATCTTTGCTTCCTAGGTGGTTCCTCTGTTTCCTTTCTCCTTCCTCCTACCCCAATATCACGCTCACCTTTTGTCTCTTAGTAATTCCTTTCAGCTAGATTGCTATTGCTCCTTGTTGTTGAAATTAATTCCCTAGTTGTTCCCTGTCTATGGCGTTGTTTGCTTACCTGCTCCTTTCCCCCGCCTCTGCCTCCTCCCAGTCCCTCTGGGAAAGTTGGTCCCATTGCTTTCTCCTCAGCAGCAGCTTTTCTTGATTGCTCTGATACCCATCAAGACATATCAAAGGAAGTAAAAATAAGAAAATCACTTTAAAATGAACTTAGGTTACTTACTCTACATAATACCTAATAATTTACTACAGAGTATGCTTTCTACTTATAATTGCATTTTGACCAAATTCAGAAAGGAGGAGACCTAGATTTTGTGTAAAAACAGAAAATAAAAAGTCTTCATACTCAGCCACCAAGCAAAATAACCAAGAGCTATGAAACTTCAGTGTGAACACTTTTCTTGTTAATGCCATTGAGTGTTCAGTGCCACTATGACCCAACTCATGGTGACCCCATGTACAAGTCCGAATACTGCCCAGTTCTGTTTGTTCTGTTTGAGTCTATTATTGCAGCTGCTATGTCAGTTCTCCTCAAAGGTCTTCCTCTCTCTTGCTGCCCCTCTCCTCCAAGCATGATGTCCTTCTTAAGGGATTGGTCTTTTTTGATAACAACTATGTGAGGCCATGGAAGAAGCACACCAGCCTGTGTGATCACGAAGTGCTGAAGGGATCAGTTAGCAGGCATCAAAGAACAAAAAATCATATTGTGTGCTCACCTCCCTGATATGATCGCTGAAGACAAATGGGTGCATAAGCAAATGTGG